GCACTTGGGTGCGTTGCGAAGATTCCTGTACTTAAAATCAGAAAACTTGGCTCTAGATGAGATCTATGACAGATCTCATCACTGTAGCCTTCCAGGAACCTCTGTCTTCCCTTCTGTAAAGTGATTAATCCATAAACCCAACCCCGGCTATTTTAGGAGGGTTCAGCAGGTTCAGGCACTGAACGTGCAGGACACGCATGTGCAGTTCTTGTTATGAGTATTGATTGTCCAAAAAGTTTTTCTTGGGCGTCTTCCCTTCCTACTCTTAGAGATCCTCTTGTATCCTCTCTGAAGCAAAAGGTTTCCAGGATCTAGACTCTTGTGTTAGAAAGACGGTAGGTCACCTGTAGACCCGCTGAGCCTGAAGCCCACTAAGAGAAAAAGCAGCATCACCATGGCTGAATTAGATGTTAAAAATAAGACACATACAAACAGATTCTATAAACATTGTATTGCATTATTCTGCACAGCAATGCCAGGGAACAGATGGTTGTGTGGAACTGCTGTATCCCAGAGAGACCCTGGAGGAAAGCCGGAATGCATGCCTGCTCTCATGTGCAAGCCACATGTCACCAATTCTTTAATCACACGGTGGGCAGCCACAGAGTCCCAGATGGACAGCACCCACAGCCCTAAAGCCATCCAGGGCCAATTTCCGGTGCCCTTCTCTAGACCTGCCAAGTTTCAGGGCCTTAAGGGATCCCAGTGTTGGCCTGGGAGTCCAAGAAGGGGATGCAGGGAGGAGAAGCCATGGGGGCTGTGAGAGTCTGTAGGTGAATGTCTGGGCCACAGGCGCACCTCTTTGAGCTGACTGCCTGCTTCCTGTCCAGATGCAGCCAGTCCTGAGCCATTTTTGATCCGTATAAACTCCAGGTGTAATCTCTACCCTTGTCAGATGCTCAACCCTGCCTCAGCTTGTAACGTCTTCTCTCTTAACTCTTCCATGGACCAGTGGCCCACTCTATTTGTGCAGTAGATAACAGGGCAGATGTAGAATAAGACCACCTCATGTCATATCCAGTTATGAAGTTTCAGACAATCTTCTTAATCTCCCTGTAACTTGATTTTTCTCATCTGTAAAATGAGAATCATGCTTATTCCTACCTGAAAGAGTTGAGGGGCTAAATAACACAGCACCAAGCAGAAGCTTAAAACAATGTGGCACGTAGCACGTGTCCCCCACCCCCAATACAGCAGAAGCGGGGATGTCACAAGGAGACACAAGCAGGTGTGCCTGAGGCTCCCCGTGGGCTCCCTGGGACTTAGGGGCCAGAGGAGCCCCATTGCACTGGTGGTTAAGTAGCACAGGGAGCTTGGTCATGGCTCAGGATGCTGGATGACTGTTATTTACTAAGGTTCCCATGCATGCTCCAGATGGCTGTGTGGTCTTTCTCAGAACTCCTTCCATGCTGTGACACGGCCCTCCATCCCATCCGCCAGGAGTTTCTTGCCCGGGCTCTCAGCCAAGAAAGCAAAGTGAGGATACCCTGAATGATGTTTGAAAGTGCTATCTGAATGAACCTCAGCTTCCTCCCCCAAATTCCTTGGGCTACAGCTCAGCTCAGAGTTGCCCTTTCAAATCCATGCGAAGGAAGGAATTCCAGAAGATTCATGGAAAATACATATTATGAGGACACCATGCAAGGATTTCAGAATTTTTGCAGCAAAATCCTTACCTTCCTATTCCATTTTTCTACAAGTTGTTGAAAAGATTTATTTTGTTTGTTTGAAAGACTAGTGCTCTAGAGAAATGGGGAGACAGAAAGAGACAAGCAGTCTTTCATCTACTTGGTTCACTCCCTAAATGGTTACAAACCACCAGGCCTGGGCCAGACCAAAAGAAGGAGCTTCTTCCATGTCTCCCATGTGGGTGCCATGGGCCCAAGTGCTTGGGTCAGCTTCTTCTGCTTTCCCAGATGCATTAGCAGGGATCTGGAAGTGGAACAGCCAGGACTCCAATTGGTCCTAGTTCCCATATGAGATGCCATCCTTGCAGATGGCAACTTTAGCTACTACTCTGCAACACCATCCCATATAAAGTTTGTTGAAATGTATCCAGGTTTGAATCTCAGCTATCCTGCTTCTCCATTGCACAAGCATGAACTGAGCCTAAGGCTTTCACAGATGACAAATGTCTCGCCCTAGAAAATGTGACTGGTAGTGGTCCCTAACCTGTGGAGTCGGCAGGAGGCAGTTCCTGCAAAGCTGTACACGTACTACCTGGCCTAAGGAACGTCTGCACACTAACTGTTGCTTTACGAACTTGTTCTGTGATGGTTGGTCTGACTGTTGCGAGCCATGGCTTGCTCAAGGTTATTCAGAAAAAAGGAATGCCAGGGAGACTGAGCCTCAGTTTCTAGTTCACCCATGATCTCACTCTGGTTTTGTCCAACTGTGAACCCAGGACCCTTAGGCCAGAGCCTGGGGGGCACACTGCCATCCCTGTTGGAATCCTCAGGCGTGACTGGCCATCATTTCCGCCAGCTCAGAGGTCAGCCAAGTCAGCAGTGGTTTGCCAAAGGATGGGAGGATGAATACAAACTGCTCAAAGGACCATTTTCGCTGCAGTCCAAATCTTCCTGTGCTTCAGCTGGCTGCCCTAAGAAGCAATTTAGCGAATGCATTTTATCTTTGGAGAAATCTGTCTTTGGTTTCTGTCACTTGCTCCTTGAAAGCAATGTGCTCCCACCGTGGCCCATGCCCCCTGTGGCAACATCATATGGTCCTCGTTCATGAAAACACTCGCTCCAGCCCAGTGTCTCTCCAGAGAAATTACCCATGGCTCTTTACAAAAAGGAGGCCATGGTAAGCTTGCTTGAGCCTTCCCCTTGAGATAACATCAGCCATGCAGCCAGCAATAAGAGAGCCCCGATTAGAATTTGAAAAGGTGCATAATAGCGCCATAATCACATTGCTTAGGTTCCTGTAGCATTTACAGTGTACGCAGTCCTTATCCGGAGCAATAGCTCATTTGAGAAAATTGCAGGGAATTAGTTAACCACAGAAAAGTATAAAGAAGGCAATAAAATTCATCTGTCAGAGAAAAATCTTTGTTAACATCGTAATGTGTTCCCTTTCATCTATTTTCTGGTGAGTTTTGTTTGTTTGTCTTTCTACTGCATTGGGACCACACTGCATATCTGTTGTATGCCCTTCTTTTGTTCATGGAACATTGTATCATCCGTTCTTGCATTTGATTCGCACATCCATCCCCTGGGAAGAAGTCACTGTGTTCTAAAATGTCCCCAGTTTGAGTCCAAAGGCTGGATTTCCAGCCCAGACAGTCTCCTTCTCTGTCACCTGACAGATGCCAAACCCCAAGCTTGGGGTCCTCCTACTCTGAAGGAGTGATGAGCCCAGAAGCGTTCAGCATGGCAGCTAGCCCATAGCATGGACTCAGTCCATATCAGCAAAGTAGCAAGGACTGTCATCCCGTGTCATGTCATGATAACTAAAGCTCCGGGATGGCATCTAGTTGGTGTAGAGACAGTTTTGCCCAACAGCAAACCTAATGTGCTTCCCATAGTACCCAGGGTGGGTGGGCCAACAGCAGCATTGACTAAGCCCTACCTGCCCCATTCAGTGCTAGTGGTGAGCTCTAGTAAGTGAAATCTCAATACCATGCGGACTTCTGGTTGACCTGCCCCACACGGTCGGGTTGCACTCGGAGCACTCTTTGGTTACTGCTTCTTTCCTACCTCACTTCCTTAACCTGCAGTTAGGGGGCCTGACATGCCTCAAGGACTTACTGAACACACAGGATCTAGGTGCCCTGACATGGAATCAGAGATGACTTCAGGTTGGCTCCTGCTTTTAGCAACTCACTGGATGAGTGCTCTAAAAGGGGGGGGGGGGCGGAAATCCTTTATTTTTATTGGAAGGACAGAATTGCAGCAAGAAGGAAGGAGAGAGAGAGGAAAAGAGTGCTTCTGTCCACTGGTACATTCCCCAAATGGCCATGACATCCAGGCTGGGCCAGGCTAAAGCTAGGACCTTCCTCTGTGTCACCCCCTGGGGTGGCATTGTCCAAAATACTTGGGCCATGTCATAGTGCTTTCCCAGTCCCGAAATGGAACATCGTAGCCTCGATCCAGCATCCATATGCAAGAGCAGCTACCGTGCCACAGCGGTGCTCCCTAAGTGGGGTACCCACTCCAGCTCCTAATTCCACCTATCTGCTGATGAGAATTTGGGGACACAGCAGGTGATGGCTCAAGTCAGTGAGTCCCTGCCACCCATGTGGAAGGCCTGGGCAGAGCTTCCAGCCCCCAGCTTTGGCCCCAGAAATACTGTGTGTGAATTTTAAAACTGTTTATGACAATCTTAATCCTATGTTTCCATGAACTTTTTTAAATACTTCTAAAATCTGTTAACTGTGTCCCAAATGCAAAAGTCCTCAATTCCCAGAGAGCAAGTTATCCTGGAGAGGGGTGGAACTGGTTTGACTTCTACCAACAGATTCCTGAGAGAAAAGGGAAAGAGGGAAAAAAAAAAGAGAGAGAGAGAGAAAAGAAATTGCCTAGACTCTGATTGAACTCAGATGAAATGGAGGGAAAAGAATTTTTGTATTGGTCATGCATTTGTTTCATTTTTCTCTCCAATGCCTGGTGCAATTATTGAAATGTGCAGCTCTGCAGAGAGAAAAGCATCAGGTCACACCAAGGTCCTTTCTGTTTTGGTCTTTCTTCGCTTTGTTATTTGACCTCACTGGGCTAAATTGTCTAAAAAAGCATTTGTTTGATTTGTATGATAGGTCACCCATTTTGTCACTGAGGACTGTCATAGTTCTTGGCCACAAGGTGGCCTGCTTCTCTTGAGTCCCTTCCTGAAGTTAGATTGAATTGTGGGGTTGGGGGAAAGACTAAAAGCAGAATCTACCTGTGCCCATCAATAGCATCTCAGCTGGTGATAAGCTCAGGAAAGCAGGGCACAGGCCGGGCAGGCATCCAGGCCCCGAGAGCTGGCTTTCCTGTCCCCAAGCTCCTGCTCCTACCTTCCAGCTCCAGAAGCAGCTTTCAGAGCTGGATGAGGACGACCTGTGCTATGAGTTCCGGCGAGAACGCTTCACTGTCCACCGCACGCACCTGTACTTCCTGCACTATGAATATGAGCCAGCTGCCGACAACACGGACGTCACCTTGGTTGCCCAGCTCTCCATGGACAGGTAGGATCAGGGGCCCCACCCATTACCCAGTCCCCTCATGACCGCTCTTTGCCTGGAGGGTCAACTGGAGAAGGGAGAGATGGCCATACAGTTTTAACATTTTACAATCCAGTGACATGGGGCTTGCATCTCATTTATTCCTGCCACTGAAAACCAAGGCGTTCTGACTGTTTGAGGGCAAAGGGAGTAGCTGGATCTGAAGAGATAGACTTGTACTCACATGATCAAAAAAGAAAAGATATAGACCCAGGCTACAGCTGCTGCTGCTAGAAAAATGCTGTGTCCTTTCACTAAGTGAACAACCATGTGTGGACCATAATGGGGTAGCAATGATCTGACCCTGCCCATGGGCAGTGTATAACACAAGGTGCCTCCCAGGGTGGGTCAGGCCCACTGGGAACACCCAGAGTGCGATCAGAGCTGAGCAGGCAGAAGTGAGGAAGTGGTAGGGAATGAGCTCGGCTGGGTAGTTACATAGCTGGGTCCCAGGGGCCCTCGAGGAAACCAGGGGAGGTGGCTGGCATTTCGGACTCTAATCCCTGTAAGAGACCTGGCCTAGATAGTGGATCAAAATAGTGTCCCAGAGACACCCCAAAACTTTTCTTAAATATTTAATTTATTTGAAAAGCAGATTCACAGAGAGCAAGAAAAACAGAGGCCGTCTGTCCCACTGGTTCACACCCCAAATGGCATAATGGCTAGGGCAGACCCAGGCCAAAGCCAGGAGCATAGAACTCTGCCTCACGTGGGTGCAGCGGTCCAAGCACTTGGGCCATCTTTTGCTGTTCTCCCAGGCACATTAGCAAGGAGCTGGATTGGAAGTGGAGCCCAGTTTGGTATGTTATGTTAGATTAACTGCACCACAAGGCTGGCTCCTATTAAAAAAAAAAAAAAAGATCTATCTATTTTATTTGAAAAGTGCCGTTAGAGAGAAAGGGAAAAACAAAAAGAGGAATTGACTATGTCCTCTTGGCATCTCACCTGCTTTTGGTCCGAATGCCCAAGCTCCCTGCAGCACCAAACAGCTCCATCGGTAAGTCACCTAATCACACCAGCCTTCTCTGTACACGATTCTCCCCTATGCTATAGAAAATGAAAGTAAGATCTAATCTTCCATGGAATGATGAGTGGGAATCTAGTGGGGGCTTCTGTTCTGCGCACAGCGTGGCGGTGCCTCAGATGCTGTGGTTTTCACAGGTGAGTGAGTTCTGCCTATGCCCACGATCTCATCTCTCTGAGAATTAATGGTTCATCAGAGTTGCATTCAAAGGCTTCAGTTGTCAGCAGTACATTGTCAGTTGAAGTCCATGGCCACTGACTACTGCAGAAATCTGACCTAGTCTCGCATCCGAATTCAGTTTGGCCACACAGTGAAGGAGGCCTGGTCCCTGGCGCCGGGTGCTATGGGTCTTCTGTGGCTCTGCCTCTTCTTGGGTTTTGAACAAGTCCCATTAACACCTTCAAATCTCAGTGTTCTCAGCTGTAACCTGGGAATAGCAAGTGCTTCATCATTCTCTAGGGTTATAGAGATCAGACGAGCAGATACAGGCCCAAAACTTAGCCTCACTCTATATTCCAAGGCTCCCTAAATCCAGCCCTTGACCTGTGTGGTACTGGGTAAGAGACCCTGGAAATATGGAAAGAAAGCTCCGGAGCTTGGGCACCTTTGGGGTTGGTTGTCTCCCACACCTTGTTAAGGTCTTGGGTAGGAGGAAATGCGCAGTGCTGTGGAAGCCTGTGGTCCTTGGTTTACACCCAGCAAGCACAGGCTGGACCCAAGCATCTTGATGAGGACTCCAGCATGTGGTAGGTACTCCGGAGAAGCCTGGATTTGGAGTCCACTGGTACCACTTCCCAGCAAACGGGAGGGGTAGCAGGTTATCAGCCACATTCCAGGAAGTGGCCTGGCCACTGTCAGGCTCACAGGGGGTGTGCCACAGATCCTGTGAAATAAGAAAATGTAAGGTGCCTACCAGGTAGTCCCTGTGAACAAATATTGCAAATATTAATTTCTCTTCCCCTAGTGTTTTTTTTTTTGACACACTGTATACTAACAAGAGAATTTGCTATCTGGAATTATAACCACACAGAAGGAAAATGACCTGAGTTATTAGCAACCCAAATGTGTCTTTCTGTACACAGAGAAAAAGCAAACCAGTGGGTAGCATCCTGCGGGCATGAGCTGCAGGTGCCCCCAGCAGGACCTGCCCTCACAGTGCCCTCATGACACACCCTGTGCATAGCAGATGCTGAATACCCACTTACCCCCCACCACCACACACACAGTGAAGGGGGATGCGTGCTGCCATCCGATGCCTGGTGAGAGCTGCTAAGCAGAACACAGTGAGAAGCCACAAAGCAGTATCCTAGCTGATGCCAACAGAGGAATTCCTGCAGCCACTTCCCTTCCATCCTGAACAGCCTATTACAATGCCATGTGCTGACTGGGGCCTGTTGCATTGATTTTTAATTTAAGAAACACTCTGAGTGTGTTTTGTAAATCTTCAAGTCAGAAGTAGGCCCTACGTGAATGCCACAACAAATTAAGGCACTGGCCTGCCAGCTCCCAGGCCCATCTCCCTCTAGGATTCCCTTCAGAACAAATGAGTGCCACCACCACAGGCAGCTCTGCACGCCAGGATGCATGCTCAGCTGGACCCATTCTGCTCATCCCAGCAGAAGAAGGGAAGGGCTGGCAGGGCAAGGGAGGCTGACGGTCGGGACGGGGGCCACCCTGAACTCCAACGCCTGACTGGGAAGACACATGCTGGGGGAGTCCATCAGACAAAGCTGCTGGTGAAGTAGACCACTCCCGCAGAGCATCATGTGGCTGATGGGTTTCCTCTTTGCTGTCTGCACAAGCTGGAAAAACAGATTTGCTGGAGTCTCTAGGAGGGACCCGGGAATCTGTATTTGAAGCTCCCCAGGAGATCCTAGATTCCTTGGGTCTCTGTCTCTAGCAAAGGGAAGGAGCTTTTCAAAATATCAACCGGGTCACACTTTAAAAGCCTTGAATGACCATGACCTTTCATTGCCTTCAGAGTAGCATCCACCCATAGTAGCTGGCACATGCCCACCTCCACGACGTCCTCTCTTCTCTTCGCTCTTCCACCCTTCATCCATGCTGGTCCTGCCGCTGCTTGCTTGAACCGGCTGACTCTATTTTGGCTGAAAAGCTGGTTTCCTCCTCTGAGAAAGCTTTTCTCCCAGACTTCCACCAAGCTGGACTCTTCTTGTTTGTTGGATGTCTTACACCTGTTCACTGGGTGGCTCATGAACAGCAGACATCACTTTCGCATGGTTCGGGAGGCTGGGAAGCCCGAGGTCAGGGTGTCGCCTCGTGTGCCTGGTGAAACCTTGCTTCCTGTTGTACACATAGTACCTTGGTACAGTGGGAAGAGCCAGGCAGCTTTCTGGGACCTCCTTCCCTAAGGCACTAGCTCCATTCGTGAGCACCCAGTGGCTTGGGCTAATCCCCAATCCTCCCCCTCCTAAAGCCCTCACCTCAAGGTTAGGATTTCAGCAGGGAAGGGCAGGGACATTCCAGCCACAGCTCTAGGTCTCTCCTACCTCTTTGGAGGAGCTTCCCCTGGCCAGGCTTTGCAGTTCCTTTCTGTACTTGTCCCTGCTCTGTGCCTCTGTTGTGCATCTGGATGTATCACAGTGTTCTCCCACATGCATACTATGCTTCAAGCTCCAGTAAGACAGGCACTTTTCCTGGGTGACGTCCCCGGCCCACTGCAGATCCCCAATAAACAGTCTGTTGGATGAATACACGTTCAAAAGGGAGAAGTGGGGGATATTGCAGCTCATATACTGAGCATCTCCTGTCTATGTCACCGTGTGCCAGACTCTTTGGTAATGATGTCATTTAACACTCAAGTCTAGTTAGGGGGTTGTACCAGTGAGTGATCCATTGCTGCTTAACAAGCAGTCCTGACTCTGAGCCCAGGAGTCTGTGGATCAGCAGTTCACCTGGGCTACTTCATGTGTCTGCCATCAGCTAAGTGGCTTTGCTGGGGATGGTATGATAGCCAGATGGGACAAAGGACATGTTGGAACCACATGACTTCTATGGAAAGGTAGCATTGACCTGTTCACAGGTGGCAGTTGCAGGTTTCAGAGCAGCAACAGAGACGGAGTTCCCACTTGATAGGTGACTCACCCATTGCCTACAACAACCAGGGTTGGGCCAGGCTGAAGCTGGGAGCTTAGCCCAGCTCTCCCACCCATGTAACATCATCACGGCTGACCCTAGAATCTATGTGGGCAGAAAGCTGAAATCTGAAGCCAGAACCAGGACAGTTCCAAAACCCAGGTACTCTGATATGGGAGGGGATCTTCTTCACCAGCATCTTAAACACAAGGCTAGATGCCCAGCCCAAGCTGGATGTGAGTGGATGTGGCAAAGGATGTGTATAGATGGGGCAGAATAACTTGGCGCCCATGCTTGGACGTTCAAGTTTAGAGGACTGTCACAACTGACCTAAGGTCAAATCCAGGTATGTCTGACCCTAGACCTACAGCTGCAAAGCATAACAATCCTGGGTTGGGTTCAGGCAGACCTGGGTGTACAGCCCGACTGAAAGGTGTCACTTATTTCACCTCCTTGGGCTCCCCCCACTGTGAAATGGAGACACACAACTCACCTCTTTCAGGTGACCATGCTTGGCGACCAGGAGCTCGGTCACCGTGTGGCCTGCACCTGACACACAGCAGGGGAGAGGCAGAGCTGTGGGCTAGCGTCGTCACCCTGTATGTGTTCATTGTGGATGCTAAGCCCAGTTTGTCTCAGTTATCCACATCCCGGCAGAAAGGTTGGTTCTTAGCTCAGAGAAGGTTGAGGAGGGGAGGGCTGGTGGCTCAGAAACAGCCCTGGGCTGTGCCATCATTGGTTCTCCTTCACTCACTGACCTGCTGCAGAACATCTGGCACCATTTCCAGGGAAACTCAACTTATTTTTCACAGCAGCGGCCCCTTTCTATGGGGATGCTGAGCGCTTTGTCTCAGTTCTTGCTGTGAACTCTTGGCAGAACTGAGAAGGGAGTTGTGCCAGGTGGGGTTTGCTCCCTGGTTGGAAAACTGGGGATTAGAATCCAAGTCCATGGAAGAATCCAGATCAATGCCACCCCTTCCTCACGTCCAGTGAGACATGCCTCTGGGCCCCATGCCCTCTCACCAGCAGCTCTCAGATCTCCATATTGGAAATCACTCTTGCCCTGCACTCCCTATGCTGTAAGGATCTGCACAGGTGGCTGTCCCTTGGGCTACAGAGACAAAACTGAGGTGCAAAAGGAAAGCACTCAAAGGAAACCCCAGCCTCTCAGAGCCTGGCAGAGTGTGGACCCTGCAAAGTTAGCTGCAGGGTGATGTCATGAAGAATGTGGCTCTGGTCAAGGCCAGCATTGTGGTGTTGCATGTTAAGCCACTACCTGCCACACTGCATGCATATGAGTGCAGGTTCAATCCCAGCTGCTCCACTTCCCATCCAGCTTCCAGAATGAGAAAGCAGCAGAAGCTGGCTCGAGTCACCGGTCCTCCACATCCACAAGGTGAAGACCTAAATGAAGTTCCTGGCTTCTGGCTTGGACCAGGCCAAGCCCAGCCATTGAAGCCATTTCGAAACTAAACCAGGAATGAAAGATCTCCATCCCAACACACACACACACTCTGTAACTCTGCCTTTCAGATAAATGAATCTTCTTTAAAAGTGGCTCTGGACAATTTGATTAACAGGCAGTGTTAGGGATGAGAAATGGTGGGTATTTTGCCCCAGTTAGTAGCTAAATCCTCAGAACCAAGAGAGGAAGCCAGGGTGGGCAGCGCTAATTCTTGGAATAACCAAAAGCTAACTCTGGAAGTCCATTGAGAAAGCCATTGAAACAAAATAGGTGTTCCCATTTCCTTTCATTTAGAAACGTAGAAATACACAGAATCTATTTCCTGGTAATTGAATGAAGTGAACATTCTAACCAGCAGACTGCTGATAAACACGTACCCCTTGCTGGTGGCAGCGAAGAATGGAAATAGGTTTCTGTCGTTTGTTCATCATAGATGGTATGTGCTGGGCACTTCTGATCCCTCTCGGTGGGAGGGGCAGGGTGCAGGGGCTATCCTCATAGACTGCTCTGCACATACTTTTCGTTAGAAGCACCTTTTGTTCTGCAACACGAAACTCCGTTCCTTTTCCCTATGCTTGGCTCAACTCCACACTCCCCCGGTGGCCTTGCAGAGAAACACAGACAACATCATTCTGGGGACACAGAATGTAGCAGAGCACCTGCCACATGCAGTCATAGTCTCTGGATTGTTGCCTTCTTTCCCCTTGATGCGAGAATTACACGTTTGTGGGACATATGCACCGTGTAAAAATCAGATCAGGGGCAATGAGCATTTTTGGCCCCTCAAGTATTTATCATTTCTGTTTTCCTGGAAAGCTCCAAATCCTTGGAGTGTTTCTTGTAAAACAATCCTATCAAGAACAAACTCTCTGTGTACTGCTTGTATTCTGGGTCTGTCTGTTTTCTGTAGCTGGTCACTGCGGAAGACATGAGCCCAGCCAAGAGGGGAGACACATGACGCCTGGAAGAAGGGCATCTTTAGCGCATTCCCAGCAAAGAGGAATCTGAGGCTTTATGAGAAGTTGATGTCACATGTTGGGGTGGAAGTACAGAAGGACCAGAACCAGCCAAGATTGGTGTCCTTGGAGCCCATGTCAGATGTCAGGGAACCAAGTGTGGAATGCCTTGGGCAGGGATTTGGGTGGGCAGCAAGACTGTGTGTAGGCAGAACCTCCGGGGTGAGCACAGGTGCGCAACTCACCTGTCCTTCTCTTACAGACTCCAGATGCTGGAAGCCATCTGTAAACACTGGGAGGGGCCCATCAGCCTGGCCCTGTACCTGTCGGACGCCGAGGCCCAGCAGTTCCTCCGCTACGCCCAGGGCTCCGAGGTGCTCATGAGCCGCCACAACGTGGGCTACCACATCGTGTACAAGGAGGGCCAGTTCTACCCCGTGAACCTCCTGCGTAACGTGGCCATGAAGCACATCAGCACCCCCTACACGTTCCTGTCTGACATCGACTTCCTGCCCATGTATGGGCTCTATGAGTACCTCAGGTAAGGACCCTGGAACCCCTCACTCAGCTCCTGGGGCCAGGAGGCCCACAGAGGCTTTGAACAGAACCACAAGGCCGCAAGGGGCATCGCCTAGCCCAGAGCTCTCCTGGGTTCATTGGCACCATGGAGCTCTGGGGAGGGAGAGGACCTTTCCAGGCTCATGCCGGTGAGAGCTCAGTCCTAGTGGCTGTAGAAGTGGCCCTAGGCAAGCTGACATCATCCAAGAACTCAAGTTTGCATTGTGAAAGGTGAGTTTGGTCTAAAAGTCCCTCTGCATGTCTCCCAGTCAGGTGCTCTTTCTATGGCATCTTTGAACTTGGGGCAGGTTCCCCAGTCCCCTTTAAGATCAGGCAGCCTCCGTGGGACCTCCTAGAGAGATGACCAGCTGTTCCTGGGACCGGGGCCCAGTGTGCTGCCTGCCCAGTCTCTGCTGAAGCACTCACTTAGCAGCAGCCACTGGCCTGGGGTCTCCTTGCGCTCCCCCCACACACACAGCCTTTTAACACCTTCATTTCCCAATGGAAAGCTGTGGGAACAGGCAGCTGAAGGCGCAGAGTTACATGCTCAGTGTTGGGGAAGCTGAGGTCCGAAGCCGCCCAGGCACCTGATCACCGCATGGCTGCCTCTCCGCATCTCCTCTAAGCTCTCCCCACACAGAGGGGCAGGTGTCCAGCCAGCTGAGCACACACTCAGCTGAAGGGATGGCTGTGTGGGGGACAGCGTTTCCCACAGAACAGTAAACCATGGGAACTGAAGGCAGCTGGTGCGTTCCTGCAGCCTGGAAGTCTCATTTTACCCAAGAGACGATCAAAGGCGCAGGTGTATCTGATCCAGGAACAGTCTTTAGAGGCCAGTTTTTATTGTCTTGAATTGTCCCTGCTGCTGAGCGCTGGCCTGGACCCGACTACCATGAGAGCAGGCTTGTATTGTATAAACCCTGGGACCCAGCCACGATTCCCCTGGGCCTCCAGGAAGGACAGCAGAGGCCTGGGGAAGGAAAACAGCCTGCTTAGTGCACAGAGCTCACCCCAGGGTTTGGAGCAGTGTCTGTTTTGCTGCCTCTGGCTTCCTAAGTGTTCCAGAACGCATGGGAATCTCATTTTTGCCCTCTGCATGCCTGTCTCTGTCTTTGTCTCACTGGGTCTCTGCAAAGAGCTTTCTGGAGTCCTGCAGCTGCCAAACCACAGGTTCTGTGAGCACCCCAGTACACACACACTTACCCCATTGCCTGCTCTCCCTCAGCAAGGGAAGGCTGCCTGTGTCCTCTGTGCAGCTCTGAAAAGCCAAGTCTTCTTCCAGGAGGTCTTGAGATGGCCTAGCATCCATCTGTTGCCTGCAGGTCCTGCTCGCCCCCTCTCTGTGTCTTCAGCAGCAGGGTAGTCGGACCTGGGCAGTATAACCCTGAGTCGCAGAGGATAAGGGTGGAGGGGGCTGTGGTGCCAGACTTGTGAGTCCCAACTCCCCGCCCCGCTTGCCAGTTTTTATTTCCAGCTCAGCCTTGGCAATCCCAGGTGTGGAGTGAGGGCGCCCCCACGTGGCCATGATCCCTGAGGATTGTGAAACACGGTTGGCTGCAGGCTCCAGAAGGGAGAGATGGATGGGAGAGATAGGGGGAGTGAGGGGCCTTCAGGATGGATCCCTGCCCTTTCTTTGGGAGTCTTCCTGAAACGCACCTGAGGGCTTAGTAGAAAGTGGCCCCATCCTCAGCTGTGATCTATCGCCTTGGCTGTCCAAGAATGACACTGTTATCTCACCCCAAGAGCATCACATTATAGAAATACAAGACACTGGGAGAGCCTTGTTTATCTTGTCGCTCCTGTTTTATGGGTCACAGACGCCGTTAACTGCCCATCAAGACCTCACCCACGGGAGGCCCTGTGGGACCCCGTGATGCTGCTCCACTAGTGAAGTCATCGCTCTAGGGACAAGGGACCAAGCTTGCCAGCTCTTGGTATTTAAGGGAAGCTGGGAATCTGATGTTCATCTTAAATGATATATTTTTAAATTTTGACAGGTCATTTTTAAGCATTGGTCTATGATTTGATGATACAGTGCCATGGGCTCTGGGATTTCTCTTCCCCCTCTCCCCAAGTCTCTCCCCTCCCTACCACCAATTTCTGCTGTATGTTTGCAGTATAGTCTTTCATGAACAGTCCTAAGACTGTGGTTCAGCTGTTCAGCTATTAAAATGTCCTGACACTTTTGATAAATGCTGTTGAACTAGGCCAAATATGTTTCCAGCCTGCAGTGACCATTCCCAGTCCAACCCTGATCACAGCACATAACCTCTGACCTGGTCATTCCCAGACACCAGAGTTCTGAAAGGACAGCTAGACATTTGATTATCTCAGAAACCCAGGATGAGCATGCATTGTGCTCATTGGATGAAGAGAGCCGTGCTAACTTCCCACTGGCGGGGGCCCTTTGCTGTGGTAGCTGCGGGGCCCAATAAGCCCAGCAAAACTTGCTCAAGACTGGATTCTTTCACTTTAAAAATCCTCTGACAAAAGTCTTTTTCTAAGTTCTATGAAACTATCACAAAGAAACTTAACAATGGGCCAGGCGTTTGGCCTAGCAGATGGGTTGCTAGGCGAGTCCCTGGTTATAATACCTGGCTCTGGGTTGTAACTCCAGGTTTCTAATCACGGTGATGGCCGCCGCAGGTGATTAGATTTTTGCCTCCCACATGGGAGAGCTGAGTTGAGTTCCTGGCTCCTAGCTTCCGCCTGGCCCAGTCCCAAGCATTTTGGGTAGTGAAGCACTAAAGAATGTGTTTCTCTCTCTCTGTCTCTCCCCCTCTCTCTCTTGCCCCTCTCAAATTTATGGAAAGAAAATCTTTAGAAAATGGTGATGGCTGACTTCCTGTGAGCTCTTACCAGGAGTCAGAGCCCTGCAGCCCCTCTGCTTTTCTTATTCCTATAAAAGATAAATGTTATCACTGGCAGCCACCTGGGACCCCAGAACAGACGAACAGTGCTGTCAGGGGGAAAGCCAGATCCTCGCAGGTGCCAGGCCCCTCTTAACCCCAAAGAGCAGGCTCATTGGCAGCCCCCTGGGCACCCTCGAACATTTACATCTACCTTTTTGGGGTCCTGGTTAGTCCCTCCCTGCTCCCCCCAATCAGCCTGATAGTTGAATAGTTACTTAGCAACCAACTAATACTGCTACAAAAACAAACAGATCAGTCGGAAAACCAGGCCGTCCGTGATTCGCATGGACAGAGCTGAATCCCGCGAGGTCTGTGTCTGGCCGCTTCACCTCTCTGTCCCACTGGACTTTACGAAGTACACCTTGCACTCTGGCTTCCAGGATCCTTGAGTGAAGCTCAGCAGGGCCTGGCAGAAGTCATGGATTTGAGTCCAGGCTCAGCGACACTTACCAAGTGTGTGACTTGGGGTGGGGCAGCTTGCTTTGTCTGGCTCTCTTCCATTTCCTCAGCAAATGAAGGGGTGCCTTGTGGCCTCGTGCAGGCTGTCGTGGGGGCTCAGCCTTTGTTGCCAGGAGCCCCTGCCACGTGTGTAACTGTAGGTAACCATTCTAATGGTTTCTGTTACCAGAATGAGAAACCATTTATAATGTGGTCCCCAAGCGACTGGGCTTCAGCAATGGGTTCGCGTCTGTGATGATACAAAAGCAACACACACTCAGCGGAGGGCATCCTTTTGGATTGTGCTTGCTCGTGTTCTCCTGAGGTTGGCCAGGTGCTCCTCACAATGCTGTTCGTCGGCCCCTGGATCGTCAAGGGCGGCAGCCAAGCCCCTACGGTGTGCGGTGTGGCTCATCTGGGACTTCCAGGTGGTTATGGGGTATTAGATGCCCTTTCCCTGCAGGTGCTTTCCGCTCCCAGTGGCTCGACTGGGGCAACATCTCTCATCCTTAGTGTGTGCTTGGCTGTGGGAAAGGTGACCTTACCCACCTTCATTTTCTGTAAAATTGGAATCACACTGTTTCTTCTGTCCTAAGGCCATGAGCGAGGTTAAATAGTGTTCGGAAAGCATCTGGAAATACCAGAATTGTCCGTTGTAAGTCCCATTGCAGGCTCTGGGGCTGTAACCAGGAGTAGAATAGGCAAGTTCCCGGCCTCGCGAGACTTGTACTTCCCAATGTAGGTGCTGCTGCTACTGTTGTTGTGATATCATTGTCGTCGTAGATAAAATGTTGAGGGTGGAAGTGGTCAAGCTCAGACCGACACACATATGGCCCAGCGTGGGGAGACAGTGCAGATCTTGAAAGGAGCTGCTTGGAGATGAATGGGTGTGAAAGTATGCTGCCTTGTGGTGCATTGCAGGGCTGCGGGACAAGTCAGAGAGGCTGTGTTCCAAAATGACAGAGGCCTGGGTGGTGGGATGTCTTGGCAGTGTTGCTCCCCTTGGTTCCGGGCTGGTCTCTGGTCTGCTTCATGCATTTGCCTGCACACCAACACCTGACATGCCACACTGGATGGACACTGTGTCCTTTGTGTGGTGCACAGTGCTAAGACGGCAGCTTGGACCCATTCCTTCCAAGCAGATAGCCAGCCACCTCCCAGTCCTGGCACATATGGCTGCTCTGTAAATACTTGGTGAATAAGAGCAGGTATGTGAACAAGGCCAGGTCAGGGCAGCAACCAGCAGGGCTGACTGGCTGCCTGCCAGAAGGCAGAATCAGGTGACATTTCCTTGCATTCATTCATGGCACTGATTCCACTAGTGTTTACATTTGTTGAGCACTTTGCATAGTCATAAGTACTTTAACACGTGTTTTACCGTTGAATTTCACCACAATTCATTCTACAAATGAGGTTACCTAGGCTGCATGGCGTGTCTCAGAAAGCGGCTTCCCTGGGGTTAACCGTAATTGTCCTTTGTTCCACCTGCTCATGCATCTGCCTGCAGACCAGCACCTGACATGCCGCACTGGACGGCCGCATGTGTGCGGTGGGCCTGGTCCCCTCTCCATTGCAGAGAGGAGCATCCTCATGGCTTGTATTTACCAAGCACATCCAATGCACCAGGGAACAG